CTCCCAACCTTATTCAACAGCAAAGACATGGCGGGCGAGAATCGAGGGTGCCCTTGGGCCAAATTGGCACGGAGAGAGGGCCTCAAGGAGATCGCGGCCCTCCTGACGGACCCCGCCATGACAATGAGGTTTAAAAAATTTAGCCCATGTTTAACTTGCCCTCATCCAAGTCAATATGAATATGGACATCCATTTTAAGGGGGAGAGAAATAAACCAGTATTAGGTATACTTGAAAATTCAACTTTGGGCTAGGACCAAGTAGATTGGGTGAAATCAATAAAAACAAAACAAAAAGTCATAAAGACTGTCCTGAACAATATTACTTCACTATTCCTTTAATTACAGGGTTTAATGTGAGTGATACCATGCGTATGTGTGCATCTGGACAGCCATCACCTTCTTTCCATCTACATTTATTTTCACATTCACAACCACATTCAAGCGTGAGTAGTTTGCTTTTTGATATTGTAGTTGTGATGGTCCAGAAATATGAGAGGGACAAGAATTTTGGTGGGTGATGTCTTTTACTGGACCAACTGCATGTTTAGGATAGACTTAGACAAGCTTTTGAATGCACTGCATTCTTCTTTGCTTGTTGAGTCTATCCCAAACATTCAATTGGCCAATCAAACAAATCACCTGCACATATCCTTATTTTCTTTGTGAACTGTGCTCATTTTTATGTTTAGAAGCTGACATCTCATTCTAGGTTAGAATTTTTATCACGTGACTTCTCACCACAAATAGTTACTTGTGGTACAGTCAATGTGCCCAGGTCCTAATGATAGATTTGTAATTAGTGATGGTTAAATACTGATTGTTGATGTAGTTAGCTGTGGCAGGGAAAATGATCCTGCCAAGAGACTTACCAAAAATGCTGGAATGATGATCATACTGGCAGCCAGCTGCAGGAGCAACATGGGCTGAGAAACATCTGGCACTGGCATGGGAATGCTTTGTAAGTATGTGCTGATGCCAGTTCACCAGATGGAACTTGAATGATGAGTTAAAGCTGGCCCGGAATGGCATAACAAGAAACTGAAACTGAGTTTCCCTCACCCATTGACACCATGCAGTGAGATGGACTGCCCTGGTAAGGGCAACTGGTGGAAGCTGGAGACAAGATGGATATATGCTAGAGCTGGCTCAGAGGAGCCAGTGTACTCACTGGAGCAGCAATCGTGGAAGCCTGAATCAGATTACTGGAGCTGGAGAAACAACGACACTGGCAGAAAACAGACAGAAAAGCAGCAAACCCGTAAGTAAAAGGTGTTGTTTAGCACCCATGTCAGGATGCCCACACCCTATTTACCATGAGAAGAGAGATCTAAGTTGGATTAAGTGCAGTCCAGCATGATGGGGCTTTTTATGGACACTGTAGTAGAAGATAGAGACTTTATGCTCTGCCTGCCACTAGCATGGTAAGAGATAATTAAGAAGAGCTGGCTGGAACCATACTTACTGGAAACAACCTTGGAACATCAAGTTGGAGCTAGACAGGGTGTAAGGGAGGCAGAGCCCCAGGTCTAACAGTGCTATGTGTGACCCCAAAAGATGGGGACAAGATCTTCCTCCATTACCTTTTAACATCAAAGATGTGGCAGGCAAGAACACTCAGTATCTTTGAGTGGATGTAGCAGTCCAAACTGTTGCCTTGCAAGGGAGGGGAAGTTACCATCCATTCAGGAAAAAGCAAGCACCCCACCAGAGACTGGCACAGAAAATTACTTTAGTCATGTTTAAATTCTGACTGTTAATATAAATTGAAGGGTACACGTGTGATTTCTGTTACAGGCAAATTCAGCTCCATCTGCCCCTACCCGATTATTTTTCTCTCACTTGCACAGAATTGAGAGGTAATGAGATGTTTCTTGAGCCTGAAAAAGGGGCATGTTGTGATACAGAACTGGTAGGAATTCCCTGCTTTAAAATACTGCCATTTTGGAGAAAAGAGTGATGAGGATTAGCAGACAGGGCAGAGACCACAATATTAACAGAATTGCTAAATGAAGCCTTATATAAATTTAAATAAATACACTGTGGAAGAGTCCCTCTGTAGATGGCTCAACCAGCACCGTGCAACCCGAAAGGAGTATGCTGCCCTTTTGGGGGACTCGCCTGCCATGACTTGATCATAATGATTGGAGACTTCTCTCCCTGAGAAGGAAAACCAGCTCTGACATCTGGTCTGTGTCCAGTAATCCAAAATAATCAGTTATGGTCTGTAACAGGGCCTTACAGGGGACTCCTCCAACCCTAGTACCCCCATTATAGTCCTCTGGGTTTAAGAGTAGGCTCTTGATGTTAAGGTATCACAGCTAGAAGCAGCTCTCAGTACCTTTCTGGATGACTCCCAGGAAGGCTCTGCAGTCCATTAAAAACAAAAATGCAAAAATATGGGCAGGGGTATTCCTCACCCCAGGGCTCTGTTGCTCTTTGGTGCAGGGTTTCCCCTCTCACTACTGCTTGTGTCCTTTTTGGCTCTCTGCCCTGTACTCCCAGCCTATCAACACTGTTTTCTGGTCCCCAGCTGTAGCTTGTCTGTCCTGTATTGAGAGGAAACACCTGGGCTGAGTTAACATCAAGTGACTCCTTCCCTGAGGTTATAAACAGCCTGGTTCCAAGAGTAACAAGAGTTCCAGCCTCATCTTACTTGTTCCAAATAGGGTTTCCCCTTCCAGGGGTTCTGTTTCCCACTGGGAATCTTAAGGGGGGAAGACCATCTCTGTGTTCTCCTGGGGCACTCTGCAATGCAGGTTTTTCCTTCTGGGACACTTCTCCCCTCTGCCTTAGAGTACTCTGCAGGTAAGGGTTTAGTTCTCTTCATGCTCCCAGACCTGTCTAAGGGCTCCTTCTGCTTGCTGCCTCTGAGCAGGCTCCGCAGTTGCCCTGTTTCAACCGTTCCTGTGTCCTGCCCCTTTACTGTTGGGGCTGCTTGACTTCTAAGATACTAAGAGGAAGGGAGCGAGCATTGATTTTTCTCCTCCCACTCCCCTTACATTCTAAACAGTTTAAAATTAGAGGATTTAAATTCTTCGCTAGGAGGAGCATTTTTAGCAACTGCAAAATAATGTTCAACCTTATATTTCTTTTCTGGTTCTAGTTAAATTAACTGGAAAAATAACAAAGTAAAGTAAAATTTGGAGACACTTTAAGATAAAAGTGAATGACTTGCGTAGAAATATGAAACCACTTATAATATTGATAAAAATAGGAATTTGTAGAAATCAAAAAGTAGAAAGTATGTTCAGTCTTAGTAAAATATGACAAAAATAGGTTTAAAAACAGAAAAATATAGCTTCTATAAAGTGACAATCTCATATCTACAACATGTGGTTCATGTTTTTTTAATAACAATATAATGCAGATTTAATGAATATCATTTTTCAAACATTCAGACTTTTAATTGCCTTTTTTTCAGCTCCATTAGTAAAATGGCAAATCTTCAGTCTTTCAAAGGTCTATACAAAACACCCTATCTGTTGATATTATTTTTGAGAATTAAAAGACTGAGTACAAGAGCCATTAACTGAAGAGTCAAGATGCTTGTTTAACACATATAAGTGTATCCCCATGAGCGCATATGTGTGTTTACCTGGGGATAACTAGCTGCGGCACATATTGTGCTGCTGCTAGTTCTGCTTTGGGGAATGCCCTTGCATGTGTGCTCTACCAGGGAACAAATTGCCCCAGGGGGTAGGGGAGGCTGGGTCCAGCACCTGGGTTGGCTCAGCAGCCTTACTTGAGGTCCTGTGTGGCCTCTTGGGGCTGCAGTGGTGGTGATCTGGATGCACAGAGCCTAGCCAGCAGCCAGAGCATGGCTCTGGTTGGCCAGGCTCCACTTTCAGGTGGCTCATGATACAGCCATGTGTCCCATTCCGCTTTTTTGCCCTTTTTTTTTTTATACCAGGAGTTCCTGGTATCTAATTTTGCCTCTGCATTGCATATTTGCAGCATGGAGTACCTATTCATGTGCATTGTGTGCATTTTGTGGTTCCTCTAAAGCCACTGAGGTGCCGTGAAGTGCACATTCCAGCTCATTTGGATGTACCCTACAAGTCCACAGTAACCAGAGCATTATATGCTATTTCCTCTAAATAGAGTGAGTGAAGTCTAAATGAATCATTAGTGTATGTAAAGCCTGATTCTGCTAACATGTATACAGGTACAAATCAGTAATAAAGATAATAACTTTACCCTTCCAAAATCAGTGCTAGTGAGGTGAGAGCCCAATATTAAATTTGATTAGCATTTGTTATTGATATTTAACTTGTTATAATTTTTTTCTTAATCACCTGAATGGAATTTATAAATATTAAATTGGGCAAATTAATTGGGACTGATTTTTGCCATCACTGAACTGTTCTTTCGATTAGCTATTTTTATACTATTCTCACTGACTAAAAATTATTCACCCACAGAGGTCAATCACCACTGTAGAAGTGGTCCATTAATCAATCGTCAGCAGGGACACGAAAGGACTGCTGCACAGCTTGCATGCCAAAGAAAAGCTCTGTATTAGTCCCAATTAGGCTAGCAAGAAAGATATTGACGGTCATAGGTAAGGAAACAGGTTACTGGATATGTTACTGAATATGTGATTGTGTAGGCCTGATAAGCCACAGTCTACATATAGGGAAGGAAGAGCAGGGACCGGTTGTCCAGTCCATAGATTAGTTGATCAGCTGTGATGAGGCAGCTTTAATTCCATCCCTTATCTACTTGCCTTTATTTAGGCTATGTCTCTACTACAGTTGTGACTATAGTATAATGTACAGACAGATACCTAAGCTACCTGTAAATAAACTAGCTTGGGCACTGTCAGCAATATACCTGTAGCAGCACAGAGCTCAGCATGGCTTGCAAAATCCCCCCAAGAAGCAAATAAAATATTGTTTTGAGTAGACTCCTATCACTTCCTAAGATAGCTGATTAAAGCTAACTGAGTACATTTACACTACATGGCAGTCACTGCTGTGTCTGGAAAGTAGGTATACTTAACAAGTTTCACAGATTTTCTGAGTAAGGGTTAACTTTCACTCCAATGCACAATATAGTCACCAATGCAAAATAAGAAAAAACAGAAGCTTAAAATTACTTGTTTATTAAATATGCAAACTCAAGTTAGAAAGGAAAATTAAAATATTAATTTGGAAGGATTTATGTTGGTGATATCTTTTATTGGACCAACAGTATGGTTGGAAGGTACACAGGCAAACTTTCAGGTACAACTTTACTCTTCCTCAGGTCTCTCACAGCCAAGATGCTAAGAGACAGTGGTACCAATAAAAGATATCACCTATAAAAATCCTTGCTTCTCACATTTTTTCTGAGCCATCCTGGCTACACCATCACCACCTATTTTCGTGATGGCTACAGCATCACCCCCAGACAAACGCATTCAATTTTATAATGCTGTTTATTTAAATATGTATGTCAAGAAAATGTGCAACTAATGCAGCGATGTATAAGTGCTTATTTTACCCTAGTCATACAAGAGAAGAATATGAAAGAACAAGGATGACTGAGTGATTTATTTTTTACTACGGAGTATATAGCAAAAAGAAAGATGGCAACAACAAAATGGAGGCTGCAACTATTTATGAAATAGAATTACAAAATAAGCAAGGCTGATAGATTTTGTTAGTAGAGTTTTTTTGAAAGACTACTGAAGAAATGCAGTTTCATTGAAGCAGATACCTTTTGTGAAGATGTATCATTTTTTATCACATTGTAGATAGGTCAGGGCTCTTCAGTCACTTCTGATGAAGGAAAGTAAGAGAGACATGAATTGAAAATATGACCTTTTGATCTGAAAAGAGCTGTTTCAGTACTATTCCATTTCACAAAAATATTCAAGAGCTTTTGATTTTCTTCCAACCTGAAAAGCAAAAAAATGAAACCTAGGAGAAAACAGAATTATCACCCAGTACCTGGCATTATTTATTAGACATTGGGTGATAACTAATGAGATATTCAAATAGGGCTTCTTAAGCAGGGAATGATCTACCATGAGTATGAGGTTGGCTGGTAGCTCACCATTCAGTTGAGCCTGAGTCTGAGAAGTTGGGCTGCCTAAGCCCCGCACAGAACAACAGAGCTGAGAATCTTAGAAACAGACATTAGGACAACCTGCAGCATACATGGGAGAACTGGCACAGACAGCTTCCCTGTGTGGTCCATGACAGACTGAGGAGGGGACAGGTAGTACTAGAGCAAGGAGATAGGGTAGGGAGCAGAAAGCAGCATTGCAGACTGAGCAGAGGAAGGGGATCAGCATGGCAGTCAGGAAGATGCAGAGCTAATTTGTGACACATCTGCCAAAAAGGTTGTCCCTCACAGTGCTACAGTATACAGTAACTGAGTGTACAAAACTACCACTAAATAAACAAATGCCTTCTATCAGTATAAACATACCATATATTTCTGTGCATTTCTTTGCTTTCTAGGGCAACCTTCTTACAAAAAAAAAAATGTTCAGAATGTCTTTTTCAATCTATCGCAATGAAAGTAGCTAAGAGAAGTTTAATTTTATTTGTAAATCCTTTAAACGTTTGTTATGCTAAAGGCATTTAAGAACCCAAAATTGCAAAGCTGGGGGCTTTGTGAATACCAGGTGACTGGTGCTTTTAGTTCTTTTTCTAGCATTCATTAGTTGCTTATCAGGACTGTCCTAAGGGAAAATGGTGTCCTAGGCGAACTTGTACTTTGTTGCCCTTTCGTTGAGGTTAAGCTTGTAGTAACATTAGCAAAAATTTCAGAAATAAAGACCCAGGAGCAACTGCTGGGCCAGATCAGGAGACCTGTTTCCCTGAGGCATCCCCTAGTAGTGGCCAAGCAGGGCAAGGGGAGAAAGGTTAGGGAGAGGTATAAGGGGACTTGTCTCTTACCAGCCCTTACCAGGTGAAGAAGACAGTGAGCAGAGCAAGGCACCCAGGATGATGAGCAGCAGAAACATGAGGAGCGGATGTTTCTGCCTCATGCAGTAATAAGGACTGATAGAGCCAGTCACAGGTGTGGAGCAGTGGGCACTGCTCATAGACCTTCTGCTCATCCCTATCCAGCAGGTAACAGTACTGCCTCGTCATTGCTAAGCCCTGCATCCAGCCAACTTTCACCCTCACCCCCCAAGTCAGTGGCACTGCTGCAGGCAAAGACAGAAGCAGGCAGACAAGGGCATGGGGCACAGTCCAGCAGAGGCAGAGTGTGTGTGTATGGCACCTCCCTGACCACACCCTGGACAGTCACCCACATTGTCCAGCCACAGGCCAGCCCTGTTGCTTCTATCAATTCAATACCAAGTATGGCATAGCAAGTTATTCCCATTAAAACCCCAAATCATTCAGCCAATGTGTTTCAATGTAAGGATTTGGGACAGGATATACCATGTCTTCCTCTGGAAAATGAATTTCATTTTCAGATGTGCAGTCAAACATGGGCACACCTACACATTCACTTAATGTGCTTTAGGTAATGCACATTAAATCTAGTACATCCAGGAGTTTATAAACATGCTCTGGGTGGCAGGGGGGAGGCAGTTTAATTAGCAAGCCACATTAATTAAAAAGGCCTAAGTGTCACACGTATCAGCGTCCCCGCACTGAAAAATGGTGGCAAGGTGCTTTAGTTCAAAGTGCCTCTCTGCCATTTTTCAATGTGGGGACGCTGATGCATGTGATGCTGGAGGCTACTAGAGTGTGTTAAGTTCTGTGCTCCAACAGACTTGATTTACAGCATGTTGAAGCAGACTTCCTGCATGTGTGCAAGTGCATTGTGAGGTACTAGGAAAATGCGCATTAGCCTATTTAATGTGCATTAGCTAAAGAGCACAAATTTTTTGTGACACTTTAATGCGCATTTAAATAGGCTAATGTGAATTAAAGTGCATGTGTAGATGTGCTTTTCATCTTAATTATTCCATGTAGGTGAAAACTGTGATGAATTTTACGTCACCAATGTCTGCATATGGTTAACTGAAAGTATTTTCATAGTGTATGCTGCATTAAGCCTTGGGCAAAATCTTTGGTCAGGACTTAAGTCCTTTTATGTGTGTAGGCAAAGCCTACCACAGTATGGACCAAATTCTTCCCCAGTGTGACCTCCTTGATTTTTCTCGCATTCATATTTGAGAGAGAGCAATCTAACATGATGATTCTAACAGTGGTTTACCATTTAAACTACTTGATATTCATTTTATATCTACACAGGTTTGGTGATTAATTTCTTTATAAAACTAATGAAAAGCAATTGGTATGTGATAATTTGGAGATATGTGTGTGCATCCGTATATTTCACAGTTTTAACTAGTTTACTTTAATTTAAGTGTGAATACCTAACTGCTACGTGACAGTTTTTATTTGGAAGCACATTTGTAATGCACCAAAGTGCAGGCTGTATCTCATTATATCATTCATTAGATAAAGAAAATGCAACTGAGAGATTTGCAAAGTAGAGAATATTAGACTCATATATTCAGCATGGGCTTTGCTTTGAGTTGAAAGCACAGATATTCTGTTGTGTATATCTGATATTATCTAAATAGTACTATATTTATTTGTATTTATTTAAGTGAATGAGAAGTTGACATATGTGAAGAAACTAAGCAGTTCAAGTTATTTTAAGTTGTATATACTTATACAATAATTATGTTTATATATATTTACATTCATGGAAAACAAAAAACATCAGAATATAAATTTCTTGTGGTACCTCTAGAATTATTTTTCACACAGGTAATTTTGTTTTACTATTTTCTTTCTGGTGCCATTTTCTTTTTATCTAGTCTCTCTCTCTCTCTCTCTCTCTCTCCTTCCTCTTATACTGGGCATAAAATCATCCCTCAAGAGACATATGAATTGCTTCATCTGTGGCTAAGTTTTATTTAGTCAAATATTGGAGTTCTTAAGGGCAAATTTTAAAATATTCTATATTTGTAAATATACAGACCCCATGCTGCTGCCCAGACCCCAGCAGGGACACGAGTGAAGCCCACCTGGATGCTGCCACTTCTGTTGTCCACACACTCCTGGAGCTCTAGCCCTGCCACCTGTGGGCCTACCTGGCCAGCCAGGACTGGTGTCTAGAGTCATTCCAGATGACCCAGGACACCTTCTAGGAGCTCCTCAAGCACCTCTGCCCCTACTTGGAGCATCTGGCCAGCACCATGTGGCTGCCCCTCCCCACAGACCCCACAGGTGACCACCTCCCTGTTCAAGCTGGCCACTCCCACCAGCCTACACTTGGTTGACTACCTCTTTGGCATGGGCAAGGTGGCCAAGGAGGCCATCATGAAAGTGTGTGGCACCCTCCAGGACATGCTGGGGAACACCCTGTTCCAGATTCATGACCCTGGTGGTGATGGCAGTGTTCCATGCCTTGGGCTTCCCACAGTTCATCAGGACCCTGGACAGGAATCACATCTCCATTACCTGCCCACCCTATGTTGACCACCCCACTACAGCTGGCAGGGCTTCCTCTCCATCATGCTACAGGCCATTGTAAACCACTGCAATGCTTTCACCAATGTGAGTACCAGCTGGCCAGGCAGTGCCCATGATGCCAACATCTTCTGAAACTCCACTCTGCCAGTGCTGGTAGAGAGCAGGCACTTCACACCAAGGTTGCCAGACCTCAAGCTGGACACAGTGGTCATCTCACCCCTCCTCACTGTGGACCCAACCTACCCACTCCTGCCCTGCCTCATGCAGCCCTACACTGGCCAGCTGGATCCCCACCAGGAACCCTTCAACAGGCACCTGCACTGGACCTGTGGACTAGTGAACTGCACCTTTGGCCACCTGAAGGGATGCTGACACACCCTCACCTCCTGCCTCATGGTTGTAGAGGCCAATATTCTCCAGAACATCACTACAGCCTGTATGCTGCATAATATCTTCTAGGCCTAGAGGGAGCTCCTCCATGAGGCCTTGGCATTGGGTGAAGGTACAGCAGATGCCTGGCATTGGGAATGCCAGCTGCAGCAGTAGTGACAATTAAAGCCACCCCAGCCCCCACCAAGGCCCTATGAGAGTTTCTCCCTAGCAGTGGGGGTCAGAGGACTGGGTGTGAGAGGAACTGACAGGCTACCTCCTCCTGCACTCCCCACTGTAGGCCACCTGGACAGCTAGCCTCAGATCCCAGCCCCACTGCACACCCCTAGCACCACCCTCACTGTGAACAGTTCTCAGAAAACTATTTTATTCCCCTCCACAAACACTGATTCCCAACAACAAAGTCCTTCCCACCTCCTTCCCCCACACTAGAGCCCATTCCCATCTCTCCACAGAGCCCCTTCAGCATGCTCCAACAATAAAGCACCCAGCTAGGCTGAGGTTGGCCCCCTAGTGGTGGGGATGACTGGGAGAAAATTTGCTTCTGGTCAGTGTCTACACATGCATTACTAAGAAGTGACTACTTGGGAGTTAATTTGCTACTTGTATTTGCAGGTAGCAAATTAACTCCAGAGTAGAGCAAGTTACTGTGCAGTAAGTGTCCACACGTGTAGACGGTGAAGCTTACTGTGCAGTAATTTTTTCTACTGTGCAGTAAAGCATCTCATATAGACATGCCCAGTGTGTCATTAAGTTGTGCAAGTCCCTCTATGGGTAATACTCCTGAGAAACTTTGCGTTTTACTGCATAAGAAATGTTTAACAATCTTTTGTGCACTGTTTTGTTGGGTTTTTTGTAATATAAAATAAGCACGCCCAAAACATTTTTCTGAGCTGGCTTTCAAATAAGTTTAATAGAGATATGACTTCAGTTGAAGGAAGTCATTTTTCACATAATCACTTCTCACCATGCACTCCAATGCAAACATTTAAATTCCACTGACAATGGCCATTATGATATAAATGATTAATCAATGTTTATATGGAATTGCATTATATATGAGAAAATATGGTAATTGCACTTTCTGCTGCTTACATTTTGCCAGGTGAAAGCAAAATTTACTTTTGCGGCATGTAATCTGCAGGAAACAGAACAATGAGGAAACTTGGACCCTAGCTACTGCTATTCAGTTACTTACTGTAACAGGACTGGACCCTGTTACTCTGGGTGTCAGGGAACCTAAACAGCCCCACACCCTGGGAGCACCTCCTCACACCCACCCCAGACCTGGAGGGACTCACCAAAGGCTGCGAATCCAGGTCCTGGGATGCAGTGAGTCTGTTAGCAAGGGAGCTGACACTGGTATGGTGAATGAGGAAGAGCCAGCCATGTGGACCAACAGAGGGGGGAAAGGAAAAGATGCTGAAAACAGCCTCAAGGGGGTGTACCAGCAAGGATCAGGCTGCCTGGAGCCTGGAGTTACTAGGGGTGAATCAGTCACTGGGAGGGGCCAAGAGCAGTGCTCCTTGTCTATTTATTTGCTAGCTTGCTTGTTTGTTTTGTTTGCACAAGCCCACAGGATCTGCAAAGCCTCTGAAAGATAAAAGGTGACCAGAAGATGAAGCCTGGGAAGAAGACAACCATAAGCTAAGTCAGTGCCTCCCAACCTCGAGTCGTGACCCAAATCAGGGTTGCGGGGATCTGTCCCTTGCTCCACCCCTCCTGCCTGTGGGGCTATCCCAGCACATGGTCCACACGGCTCTCACCACCCAAGTTTTTCCTGATATCTAGCCTAAATCTGCTCTATGTCAGTTTGTGACCATTGTTCCTTGTTACCCCAAGAGGCACCCTGGTGAAGAGAGCATCTCTGATCCCTTGCTGCATCCCCCTAATGAATTTGAAGGCAGCCACAAGATTACCTCTCAGCCTTCTCTTGCAGGGGCTGAAGAGGTCCAGGTCCCTCAGTCTCTCCTCATAGGGCTTGTCTTGTAAGTCCCTGACCATACAAGTGGCCCTCCTCTGGACCCTTTTGAGTCTATCAACATCCTTCTTAACATATGGTGGCAAAAACTGGATGCAGTTCTCCAACTGCGGTCTGATCAAAGCTGCATAGAGGGGAAGCATCACCTCCTTGGTTCTATTTGTCAGGCATCTGCTGATGCATGATAAAGTGCAATTAGCTTTGCTGGTCATTTAATCACACTGACGACTCATGTTTATCTTGGAGTCCACTATGACTCCAAGATCCCTTTCTGCTTCTGTGCTGCTGAGAGGGTCACTTCCCAGCCAGTAGGTGTGCTGGATATTTTTGTGCCCTAGGTGCAGCACTCTCCACTTGTCCTTGTTGTACTGCATCCTATTGTGTACTTCTCACTTTTCTAACCTGTCCAGGTCCGCCTGCAATCATTCCCTACCCTCTGGAGTGTACACTCCACCCCACAGTTTAGTATCATCTGCAAACTTGGACAGAGTACACGTCACACCCAAATCCAAGTCACTGATGAAGATATTGAAGAGTACAGGTCCAAGGACCGAACCCTGTGGGACCCCACTACCCACATCCTTCCAAATCGGTACTGACCCGTCTACTACCACTCTCTGGGTGTGACCAATAAGCCAATTTTCCACCCACTGGACCATATAAACATCTATATCACAGCCTCCAAATTTATTTATGAGAATGGGATGAGATACCGTACCAAAGGCCTTGCTAAAATCCAAGAAAATGACATCTACCTCTATTCCTGCATCTAAGCATTTTGTGACCCTGCCACAAAATGAAACCAGATTGGTCAGGCATGATCTACCTGCTATGAATCCATGCTGGTTTCCCTGCTGCATTATTTTTTCCCACTAGACTCCTACAGATATGATCCTTCATAATCTTTTCAAAGACCTTTCCAAGGATGGAGGTGAGACTGACTGGCCTATAATTACTCGGATCCTCCTTCCTCCCCTTCTTGAAAATAGGGACCACATTGGCCCTTTTCCAGTCCTCCAGGACCTGACCCGAGTGCCCCAAGTGCTCAAACAGCTGTGTCAGTGGTTCTGCTATGACACCGGCCAATTCCTTCAGTACCCTCGGATGCAGCTCATCCAGGCCTGCTGTCTTAAACACATCCAGTCCATCCAAGTGACTCTGCACCGAGTCAGCATCGACAGTTGGTGGGCTGGTATCCCTCTGATGCCCGTTTAAGAGCCCTTTAGGAGACTTATCTTGACCCCTGTTCAAGATCACTAAGGCAAAAAATTCACTGAAAAGCTGTCTTGTCTCCCCTGTCTGTCACTAATTGCTCCTTCTTGTTTAGTAGGGGTCCTATGCTGCCCCGTGCCTTCCTTTTACTCCCTACATACCTAAAAAGAGACTTTTTGTTGTCTTTAATTTGTGTTGCTAGCCTCAGCTCTGTAGTTGCTTTGACCTTTCTAGCTGCCTCCCTGCAAGTGCGGGCCAAGTAGCTATACTCCTCCTTGGTAGCTTCCCCCTGCTTCCACTGCCTATATGCTTTCTTTTTTGCCCTTAGGCTCCCCTGGATTTCCCTGTTTAGTCAAGGAAGTTTTTGTCTCCTTTCCCCCTTTTCCCTCATACTGGGATCATTTCCCTCTGTGCCCAAAGGATTGCCTCCTTTAGGAACAACCACCCTTCCTGGACTCCCAACTCACCAATACTCCTACCCCATAGAGCATCATTGACTACACTCCTGAGCACACTGAAGTTAGCCTTCCTAAAGTCAAGTACTTTCACCCTACTAGTTATCTTACCCACCCTACGTCGTATGGTGAATTCTATTGATTGGTGGTCACTGTCCCCAAGGTGACCACAAATCTGCAGTTCCCCTACCAGATCCTCCCCCATAGCCAACACCAAGTCCAGTAAGGCATTTCCCCTACTGGGACCGTATACCTCCTGTGTTAGGTAAAGGGTTGTGTACAGTCTATGCAAGAAAATATGGTAGCATGCCAAATATTTTCAATTCAAGATGGTAGCCATTACAAACTATGTAATTATATATATATATACATATATATATATGTTGTGTACAGTCTATGCAAGAAAATATGGTAGCATGCCAAATATTTTCAATTCAAGATGGTAGCCATTACAAACTATGTAATTATATATATATATACATATATATATATATATATATATCATATACATATAGATAGAAAAACTGAAATGTATATATATATATTATATAATGTGTATAATATATATAATATAATGTGTGTGTGTGCATGTGTGCATATATATATATATATACACACACACACACACACACACACATATCTGAAAATATATATACACACTCTTGTCTCTTATTTACCTTTGTCCTTTTTTTACTTTTGTTTTCCTTTTCTTAATATTTGGTTTTGGATTTTTGTTTGCTTATGGACATTAAATTGAGCATTATGATTTTAGCTTATTAACATAATCTCAGGTCCATTTAGAAGCAGCCTCCTAGTTCCGTATGTTGTACCTCCTGAAGTATTTGCTCTGACCTTCTTCTTGGCTGGGCTCCAAACTGAAGTTGAAATAGACTGCTGTATATTCTCTGAATTGCTCTAATCCTTATTGGTCATGTTTCCATTGATTGAACCATCACAAATGCCAACTGATCTTATAGGAATTGAAGTAATTCTCATTCTTCATAAAGCCCAGACCATTGAAATAATCCACCCAATTCATCACTGCTATAGTCTGAGATGTACTGTTTATCTGGACATAATGCTTATCCTTTGCTACAAACCCAGTATTTGTATTTCTTTGCTTGAATTACATTCCACGTACTTATCAAGCTACTAATTGTGTACTTTTTGCATTCATTTTGTTCTCTTTCCTTTTTCCATGTGAAGGGACTTCAAGAACCTATATCCCTCACATA